TAGTCATTAAACTGGTAACATGAGAGTGAACATATCACAACCTATTACAAATAATAATAAATCAATAATAATATTAACAAACATATGCCTTGTATTTTACTAAAAAGACTAATTTTAAGATAATGTTGTCCAAGTTTTTTGCTTCTTCAAAATCATTCCGAGTATTAATTAGCTACTGTAAACTGCTTTATGCAAATATATATTTCATTTGGTGTTAGAGGATTATGCTTCACTTTCACGTACCACACAAAACTTCCCACAAACAATGGAATACGATGTAGAATGTGGCATATCATGGTTTTTGTCACATAGGCTAGAAAATCAGGCATATGACTTTCTGAACACAATTGTATATAACTTCTCCATTGTCCACAACAAAATATCTGTCAAATTTTTAGAAAGCTGTGAATAAACTGTGTTTTAACATAATGACTTGCCCATTTTAAAGAGAAATCAGGAGACACTGGCTTTACCCACTGAGAGTATTTATACATTTCGTCATCAGCAAATGACCTTTCATATTTGCAGAAAACCACTGCTTCAATTTAATGACACTATATAAAGTTTTATATTTATCTATAGACCAGTTGGCACTAAGTATATTCATAAATTTTGAGTATATTCATTGTGATACCGTAAATAAAGTAAAATTTTCCTACCGCCATTTTGGAGTCTTAGTTACTAAGAGTTGAATGGGAGAAAGTAATATCTTTGCTTCTATATCTTCTAGTGGCACTTATTAAATTCCATGAGCCAACTCTAGACACTGGATCATGGTCAGTAAGCAGTAGCAATATTGCTGTATCGAATAAATACAGCAGTTTTTGGAGAATAAGCTCTTTTCACTATCGCTCCATAGACATCCATTCTTGCATCCATTGGAAGTATGACTCCAAAATGGCGGAATGAAAATTTTACTTTATTTACAGCATCACAATGAATATACTTAAAATTCTATGAAATACTTAGCACCAACTGGTCTATTTATGCCGATGAGGCCTTCCTTTTATCCTTTTAAATTGGTCCTTAATTAAAGCCACTCCTGTGTCTACTTCTAACTGAGCCTTTAATGCTTTTATTGTAAGTGTCTTGGACTTTTTCTCAGTTGAGAAAGCTGCTTAATTTTTTGTCAGTGTCAGTGGTGTTTGGAGTGTCAGTGTTTAATGATTACTTCCTTCACCGTACTTAAATAACCAAATAATGAACAAAGTACCCTTGGAAGCAACTACAGTACCTCCAATTATCTAGCAGTGCAGTATGTAGCAGCTCATTATGACATCATAATCCTGTTTAGCCAAAATTAATATTTAATTACCAGTTATGCATACCACAGGTCGGATTATATTCGCAACTGCTAATATTGGCAACAATAAAAACTAATAAAAAGGTTCAATTAATATTTAAGATCTCTAAAATTTGTATTTGTTTTTGTTGGTAAAGAGGAGGTACTTTGTCCTTATCTGGACTGTAACACTAGACACTGCCATGCCCTGGTCATCATCAGCTTCAGCTATAACAGGTTCTAGGCTGAGTCTTTATTATGTGGGTGGCTCTCTACCCTTCTCGGATCTGGTTTCCATTGGTGGACTGCAAGAGTCTAAGAAATTCTTTTCTCAGCTTGGCTGTACTGAAGTAACTGTTGGAAAAAAACCCAATCAGACTCGTATTTGTACAGAGTTTTAAAATAACTTTGCATGCAGGATTATTTGGGAATTAAACTCTAAATTTGGCATACTTAACATGATTGCAGCATTTATAAAGGGCTTTAACTCTATGCCTGACAATTTGTTGTAGAACTACAACAAGGTAATAACAATTAATAAAAAAGCAATTACCACGCCTCTTTTTAGGGCAAACACGTGCGTTTTACAGGAAACCACACCTTCTTGGCAAAAATTGGTATTGAATAATATTAGTGGTAAAATAGAAACCATAGGAAAGAATAGAAAAGTGAAAGAATGCTTTGTCGGCACTTTGATATAATTGCTATTCAACACTTATTTTTTTTTTTTTTTTTTTTTTTGCAAAAAGTTGACTATTTGTTGATGATATTGTAAAGGCAATGAAACTGGTTGTAAGTAAATGCAGCAGCTAAAATCTATGTAGGTGCAAGCAGTTTAGGTGCTTTGGAGCACTTTTAAGTGAATGGAATAGAACTTGCAGGTCTACTGAGAGCTCTTGAAAGGCACAAAGATACTCTATGAAAAACGATCAAAATGGCTGATTGGGCGTGGTCAAGAGGTGTGGCGTCGAATAATTGATGATTTCCATGACAACATAAATAATTCAAAAAGTTGTCCAAAGGATTAATCTTTGCGAATTACTTGTGTAAGGAAAAGGGTTAAAGCTGCCTGTTGTTTTTATAAAATAAATGATGGCCAATGTACCTTTGGAAACTACTACCTCCAACTCAGGTATAGGGACACGCACATTATTCGGGAATTTCTTTTGGAATAATGGGTGTGAAATTTAGAGAAAGAATAATGGGTTAAAATTTGCCTGCCTGGATCATGTGATCAATATTTAACCCTTTCAATACTGCATTAGCATGTGTCAGCACTCAGCAAACAGTACAGTACAATTTAACAGCACTTCACAGCAACAGCAATGAGTAACTCCACTGGAAATAATACTGAACAGATTTCAGGACACTCAAAGTAATTCACTTGAGGATTACATTGAATCATCAGTAGTGTTACAGTATAACCATGAATGATGATATTAATAATAATCAAAATGAATTTTTGGTATTATCAGAGCATAATAATGGGAATAATGGGCCAAAAAGGAGAGAATAATGGGATTGAGGAAGAGAATTGAAGAATAGAATTATAGGGTTGAAAAAAAGAATAATGTGCATGTCCCTACTCAGGTAGGCCTACCTAGCAGTGCAGTGCAGTGTGTATGACATCACATCCTGTTTTGTCAAAATTAATTTACCAATTACCGTAAATGTTCAAATAAAAGCCCGGGCGTTTATTTCTTTCCTGGACAAAAAATTGCGTAAAATAAAAAAAGAAAAAGCAAAACTGGGATTCGAACTCGGAACTCCAGGTTCCAGGCACTTAGCTTAACAAGTTAGGCCATTTGGGACACTCTTAAGGTTTTGGTATTTATATTGAGTAAAATATGCGTATCTATACTTAGAGAATCTTAGTACCAGGCGTTTATGCAAGCCCGGCCTTTATTTGAACATTTACGGTATACATATTCACTTTATGATTGACTAGTTAATATATTATATACCACTGAAACCATGACTAAGATTAAAATTACAGAAAAAAATGTCAACTTTAATTTACTTTGATAATCAACCTTTACATCAATTTATTTAAGGTCTTTAAAGGCTATATTTGTCTATCGTTGGTATTTGATACCTTGATATAGAGGGGTACTTTGTCTTCATTTGGATTACAACACTCTAGGCACTACCTTTCTATTGTCATTAGCTTTAACTGAGTCCAACTATAATAGGTGTGTATAATATGCAACTAATGGCACAGACAGCGGGTCGCGGGTCATGCTTTATTACAAAACTCACTAAAGGTATAAAATTTTATATTAAAGTGTACTGAACTGATTGTCCTGGAATCCCTGTACTGTCTGTTATATAATAGATAAATGCAAAGGTTCAATTTTTAAGATAATTAAAATCTTTCCCTTTGCCTACAATCACAACTTTGTTCAATTCTCGCAGCTAGGGTGGTCTATATGTTCCAGTTAATATTGGAATGATACCTTATTTGGCTACAAACTGTTGTAGCCAAACTGATTTAGTTGTGTTGTTATGATAACAGTCACATGACTTTGATAAGGTCTATTAATTTTCTGCTATTATTGACATAAGATGGATCCTGTCTCTCCAGAAAGAAGGAGGTTGTTACCCTCTTCTTCACTTGTTATCAATGCAAGTAAAAGGAAGTACAAACCTTTCAACTGCTTCAGTAACTACTGTAAGGAATTAAAGTCTCGTTCATTGAGTTTACCATTAATCCTCCTACTGATTTATGCTCTACCAGTTAACATTTGTGTTGCACTTACTGATTCAACTAGTAGCCTGTTCAGTCAATGTGACTTATTTCACTCTAAAAGTGATACATTTGTTTTTGATGTAGCACTTGTATTAAATGTATTCTTTCTTCTTGCCCCTTTCTGTGGTTGGTTATCAGATACTAAGATTGGTAGGGGTAATGCTATTTATCTTGGTCTATGGCTTGGTTGGATTGGTACTCTAATACAAGCCATAGGATGCTGTTTGCAGTATGATTCCTTTCAGTGTAGCACTGTTTCTTTCATAGGAAGAGTTGTAATTCCATTTGTTTTTATGTTAATATCATTGTCACTCCTGTTACCTAATATATTACCATATGGTATAGATCAGTTGATGAATGAATCTACTGTCAAAATAAGAGCATTCATTCACTGGTTCTCACTCTGCCTTTATGGTAGTTCTGTATTTTCATTTATATCAGATGGGCTCATTCTTTCAGTTGTGGCCTTTGCTCTCTTTTCTTTTTCTCTTTGTCTTCATTTCCTCTTTAAGCATTGTTTTGAGCACATACCTATTCCTAATCCTTATAAAATTGTATTTAAAGTACTGAAGTTTTCTCTCACAACTAGTGGCACTAGAAGACAGCATCGTAGTGCATTCACATACTGGGGAGAGGAGCCCAGTAGAATGGATCTTGCTAAGGAGAGGTATGGTGGTTGTTTCTCTCATGAAGAAGTGGAAAATGTAAAAACTTTCCTACAAATTGCTGTTGTTTTGATTACTGTTTTCCCCTTAATTGTTTCTATCTTTTTTTTATTTCGTTTATCTAATTTTACTATACAATTTAAAGATGGCTCTAATGAAAGTTCTGGGAATGGTATCTGGCTTTTAAGTAACATCATCCCTTTGTTTGTTCTGGTCCCTTTGTTTGAACTGGTTATTCTACCTCTCTTCCCTAAATTAGAATATTTCCTAATTAATCCATTGAAAGGACTTGGTTTGGCTTATATTTTCCTCATATTATCAATTATTAGTGTTTTCTTCATTGACTTGATTGGAAGGATTGTTGCTGATAGTGACTCCAATATTCCTTGTTTCTTCATGTGGAAATCAGTCCATCAAACAATTGATATTTCCTATTGGATACTACTCATACCATCAGTATTGGCTTATACAGCATATTTTTGTGGTGGGATGTATTTATTTGAGTTTATGTGTTGTCAGTCTCCTTTTGGTATGCATGGAATGATCATTGGACTTTGTTGGTTTTTCAGTGGTATATTCATTGACATTGCTATAGGTATATTTTTAATAGTTTATTATCACCCTATACCCTTGGTCAAATTTATGTCATGTACCTCATGGCTCACTATCACCCTTTGTATAATTGCTGTTATTGGATTAGTGGTGTATGTATTAATAGCTCGATGGTATGTCAATAGGGTCAGGGATACTGATCTTGGTCTACGTGCAGCAGTAGAAGAACATTGGGAGAATAGACTGACATCAGAAAATGACACCGAAACAGAAGATTTTCTTATTTCTAGTTTTAAATGATATTTTGTTATTTTTGCATTTTTAAGTAATTTTGTAACTTTATTTTGATGATCATTTCCTGCGCTACACTTTATAATTTTAGTCCTGCCTTAAGAAATTTTCTCTATCAAGCAGGGGAAGATGTATTGCATTATCCTTAGCTATAGTGAATAAGTATCTATCTTCTCCTTCCCCTTTAAATCATCCTACTTCTTCAATCACTGAAGGACAATGTTCTTTGTCTTGATATACAGTCTGAATAAATCAAAGTGGCATAATCACTTAGTAAAAAAATCTTTACCTCCACTAAAACAACAATAATGTTTTGCTTTGCCTTTAATTTCTAAGTTTGTGATGAAATTTTAATATTGTATTTGTATGGAATGTTTTAGTAGGCTTTCCCATAAAGCTTGCTAAGTGAGCCTAACAGCATACTTCATGAGCTGACAAGCACTAAAATATAGTACATGGCATTTTGAGCAACTTTAAAATTCATCAAAAATTTTAATTTAAATTGGAATTTAGCTGAAAATTTTTATGCAACATAAGTAATCCTGGTGTATCAGAAAATGTAGTAAAAATGAAGATTACTCACCTAGTCATTTTTTAAATGTTTTTGTACTATAATAGTGCAGGGTGTGTGCACTGTTTGGCCTAATTTTGAGCAACTTCAAAATTCATAAAAATCCAAATGTGATTGGAATCAGCTCAAATTGTCCACACAACATAAGAACAGAAAATATTTAAAATTAGAGAATTCTCACCTAGTCATTTTTGATGAAATTTGCCTATATAGTATATACAGGATGCGTGGTTGAATTCTTGAGCAACTTTAAAAATTCATAAATATTCAAATAATTCCAAGAATTGTTTGATTTTATATGTAGTATTACCCGGTATGTACCATGGAAGCCATCTGCTGTAACATTAGAACAGAACTTGTGTAATAGTAGAAACAAGATAGGACAGGCATTTAATTTATTGTACCATTTAAGAACATTCTAGATTATTCTTTTTCATTTACTGGACTATTCCTTTGTTGTGTGGACTATTCTTTTTGTTTACTGGAACATTCTGGGCTAGAATGTTCCAGATTTGTACCTTGCTATAAATATGTGTGATTTTTGTAAATAGTTGGTTCCTTGCTTGGTAAAAACATATTATTAAACCACTTACTTCTGGTGAACACTGTTACAACTTGACATCGATAAAAATGCTGGAAAGAACCTGTTACATGATGTAAAAGCACAGCTGGAGTCTCTTGGACAATTACAAAAGGCACAGCCACTAGCCAACCAACATCTTGTCCATGCTAGCTGTACTTCACCAAAAAAGTATTGTTTCCTAAAATTAGTTATAGACTCTATATGTACCAGTTTGTCAGTTACTATTGAAATCCTTAAAAACCAAAGTGCATTCAAGTGGTTGAACTGACCACTGCTTTTGAGGTGTTTAGCAACCATCTCTTTGTGGTACTCTGTGACAGCTGTTTTTGAGACCAGATCGTCCACCCCTTCCTCCACAGAACCAAAGTATTTTTTCAATATTTTCTGCTAACTGATCTAGCTGTGGTTTTGTGGTATTCAAACTATTCATAATGTTGTAATTGTTGTTATAATTGACAGTCACATGACTTTGATAAGGTCTGCTATTGAAATAAGATGGATCCTGTCTCTCTAGAAAGAAGGAGGTTGTTACCCTCTTCTTCACTTGTTAACAATGCAAGTAAAAGGAAGTACAAACCTTTCAACTGCTTCAGTAACTACTGTAAGGAATTAAAGTCTCGTTCATTGAGTTTACCATCAATCCTACTATTGATTTATACTCTGCCAATTGAAACTTGTATTTTAATCACTAACTTGTCTAGTAACCAGTTTAACCAGTGTGGCTTATTTCACTCTAAAAGTGATATAATTTTAAATAATTTAGGGCTCATAGTAAATGTTCTCCTACTTTTTGCCCCTTTCTGTGGTTGGTTATCGGATACTAAGATTGGTAGAGGTAATGCTATTTATCTTGGTCTATGGCTTGGTTGGATAGGTACTCTAATACAAGCCATAGGATGCTGTTGGCAGTATCATTCCTTTCATTGTGGCACTGTTTCTTTTATAGGGAGATTTCTAATTCCTTTTGTTTTTATGTTTATATCAGTGTTGCTCTTGCTCCCTAATATATTACCATATGGTATAGATCAGTTGATGAATGAATCTACTGTCAAGATAAGAGCATTCATTCACTGGTTCTGGCTGTGTCTTTATAGTGGATATGTGTTGCCTATTATTATTGCCAATGAACTCACCATTTCAGTTGTAGCCTTTGTTCTCTTTTCTTTTTCTCTTTGTCTTCATTTTTTCTTTAAGCAACGTTTTGAGCACATACCTATTCCTAATCCTTATAAAATTGTATTTAAAGTATTGAAGTTTTTTCTCAAAACTAGTCGCACTAGAAGACAACATCGTAGTGCATTCACATACTGGGGAGAGGAGCCCAGTAGAATGGATCTTGCTAAGGAGAGGTATGGTGGTTATTTCTCTCATGAAGAAGTGGAAAATGTAAAGACTTTTCTACGTATTGCTGCTGTTTTAGCTACTGCTTCCTCCTTATTTGTTTCTGCTTTTCCATTTATATTCCATTTATCTGATTTTACTGCACAATTTAAACATGGTTCTAAAGAAAATGCTAGAGATGCTATTTGGATTTTTGGCAATGTTGTCCCTTTGTTTGTTCTAGTCCCTTTGTTTGAACTGGTTATTCTACCTCTTTTCCCTAAATTAGAATATTTCCTAATCAATCCATTGAAAGGACTTGGCTTGGCTTATGTTCTCATCATATTATCAATTGTTAGTGTTTTTCTTATTGACTTGATCGGAAGGATTGTTGCTGATAGTGACTCCAATATGCCTTGCTTTTTTATATGGGAACCAGTCCATCAAACAATTGATATTTCCTATTGGATACTACTCATACCATCAGTATTAGCTGGTGCATCATATTTTTTCACATGGATATCTTTATTTGAGTTCCTGTGTAGTCAGTCTCCTTTTGGTATGCAAGGAATGATTTTTGGGCTGTTCTTGTTTTTCAATGGTCTATCTACTGAATTTTTTATAGGTATATTTTTAATTGTTTACTATTACCCTATACACTCAGTCTCATTTATGTCATGTACCTCATGGCTCTCCATTATATTTGGTATAATTGCTGTCATTGGATTAATGGTGTATGTATTAATAGCTCGATGGTATGTCAATAGGGTCAGGGATATTGATCTTTGTCTACGTGCAGCTGTAGAGGAACATTGGGAGAATAGACTGATGGCAGGAAGTACCATAAATGACAATGATACCGAAGATCTTGTTATTAATAGTTATAGATGATTTTGTTAAATTTTTGTTCCCTATTTACTTCAATTTTGTGATTTTACAGTGGTGTAATCATGTTATGAAGTTTTTTGTCAGTGAAAGTATCACAATCCATTACAAATAATAATGAATTAATAATATTAGCTAAACATGCCTATTTAACTACGAAAACTGATTTTAAGATAATGTTGTCCAACTCTTTTTGCTTCGTCAAAATCATTTACCTTCCGAATTTGCAGAAAACCACTGCTTCAATTTAATGACAATACATAAAGTTTTATAATTATTTATCTATCTCAATGGGGCCTTCCTTTTATCTTTTAAATCAGTCTTGATTTAAAGCAACTCCTGTGTCTACTTCCAACTGAGCCTTTAACCCTTTTATCATAAGTGTCTTGGACTTTCTCAGTTAGCTGCTTATTTTTTGCTCAGTGTCAGTTGTGTTTGGACTTGGAGTGTCAGTGTTTAATGATTACTTCCTTCACTGTATTAAAAAAACCATTAGTAAATCACATTAAGTTGACAGTAATGCTTTGATGTTGTCAGCATACTCTTAAAATAGTGTACCTCACACTTCTCTAATATTTGGAATGTGAGGATAATCTTCTCATGCACATGCCTAGAATCCCCATCCATCAAAAATTGAACAGGATGTTGTAGTAGTTCTGGTAGCAGATCACCAGTTTGAGAACTATTCAAGCTGGAAAGGCACAGTAGACCAAGGGTTAAACCAAATGCTATTAATTCCTTGATGAGCGGTAGGCTTGAATAATACACATAATGCACAGTAATGAATAAATTAATCATTTACATAACAGTTCCATTGTCCGATGTGCTAAGCTCAATTGCATGACTGACCATTATGTCCTCAGTATCATCATAATCACATGAAAAAATACAACTGGTCAGTTAACAGTATATGTACACTAACAGTAATAGGTATGATAGGAGATAGTAGTGGTGGATCACTTAAAGTTGAAGAAGTAATAGTTCCATCATAAGGGCTGAGTTCTGCCCTTCTCAGATCTGGTTTCCGTCAGTGCACTGCAAGAGATTCTTTTTCCAGTTTAGCCGTACTGAAGTCACTGCTGGAAAAGAACCCAATCAGACTCGTGTTTGAACAGAGTTTTAAAGAAACGTCTTTGCACAATTATTCGGGAGTTGATCTTAAAAGGTATAATTAGCTTGATCACAAAGATTTATAAGAAGGGTTGTGTGTGTGTTTCTATAAAATTAATGATGACTAAAGCACTTTTGGAAACAACTACCTCCAATTGAGATAAGCCTATAGCAGTGCAAGTGCAGGCAGTGTGTATGACATCACATCCTGTTTTGCCAAAATTAATTTACCAGTTAAACATATTCACTTTATAATTGACCAGTTGATACATTATGTACCACCACTGAAACCGTGACTAAGGATTTAATTTTGTATTAATTTGCCTTTGTTGGTATAGGGACGGTGTTTTGTCCTCATCTGGATTGTAGATATTGCCCTTTTGTCATCAGCTTCAGCTGTAATAGGTGTGTAGTATATTATACAACTAATGGCACAGACAGTGGGTCTTGCTCCTTTGCAAAAGTCATGAAAGGCATCCTGATTGTCCTTGAGTCCCTGTACCGTCCATTACAAAATGGACAAATGTAAGGCTTCAGCTTTTGAAGATAATTAAAGATCTTTCCATTTGTCTACAATCATGATTTTGTTCTCTACAATCAACTCTTGCCTATAGAGTGCTCTATACTTTGGAATGATTATGATACCTTATTTGGCAACTGATTTAGCTGTGTAGTTGTAATGTTGTTATGATAGCAGTCACATGATTTTGATAAGGTCTATTGATCCCCTGCTATTGAAATAAGATGGATCCTGTCTCTCCAGAAAGGAGGTTGTTACCCTCTTCCTCACTTACTAACAATGCAAGTAAAAGGAAGTACAAACCTTTCAACTGCTTCAGTAACTACTGTAAAGAATTAAAGTCTCGTTCATTGAGTTTACCTTTAATCCTCCTACTGATTTATGTTCTGCCAATTGAAATTTTCATTGAAATTACTGTCTTGAACAGTAACCTGTTCAGCCAGTGTGACTTCTTTCACTCTGTAAGTGATACATTTACTTGGGATATAGCACTTATAGCAAATGTACTCTATCTTCTCGCCCCTTTCTGTGGTTGTTTATCAGATACTAAGATTGGTAGAGGTAATGCTATTTATCTTGGTCTATGGCTTGGTTGGATAGGTGCTCTAATACAGGCCGTAGGATGCTGTTTGCAGTATAACTCTTTTCAGTGCAGTACTGTTTCTTTTATAGGGAGAGTTGTAATCCCTTTTGTTTTCATGTTAGTCTCGTTGTCACTCCTATTACCTAATATATTACCATATGGTATAGATCAGTTGATGAATGAATCTACTGTCAAGATAAGAGCATTCATTCACTGGTTTGTACTCTGCCTTTATAGTAGTGTTGCATTCCTGACTTATATTTCAGATGAAGTTACGATTTCAGTTGTAGCCCTTGTTCTCTTTTCTTTTTCTCTTTGTCTTCATTTTTTCTTTAAGCATCGTTTTGAGCACATACCTATTCCTAATCCTTATAAAATTGTATTTAAAGTATTGAAGTTTTCTCTCAAAACTAGTCACACTAGAAGACAGCATCGTAGTGCATTCACATACTGGGGAGAGGAGCCCAGTAGAATGAATCTTGCTAAGGAGAGATATGGTGGTTGTTTCTCTCATGAAGAAGTGGAAAATGTAAAGACTTTTCTACGTATTGCTGTTGTTTTGGCTACTGTTTTCTCCTTATTTGTTTCTGCTCTTTTATTTCTATTTAATTTATCTCAGTTTACTGCACAATTTAAAAATGGTTCTAAAGAAAATGCTAGAGATGCTATTTGGTTTTTTGGTATTGCTGTTCCTTTGTTTGTTCTGGTCCCTTTGTTTGAACTAGTTATTCTACCTCTTTTCCCTAAATTAGAATATTTCCTAATTAATCCATTGAAAGGAGTTGGTTTAGCTTATATTCTCATCATATTATCAATTGTTAGTGTTTTTCTCATTGACTTGATTGGAAGAATTGTTGCTGATAATGACTCCAATGTGCCTTGTTTCTTCAATTGGAAATCGATCCATCAAACAATTAATATTTCCTATTGGATACTACTCATACCATCAGTATTAGCTGGTACATCATATTTTCTCACATGGATATATTCATTTGAGTTCCTGTGTTGTCAGTCTCCTTTCGGTATGCATGGGATGATTATTGGACTGTTCTGGTTTTTGCATGGTATATTCACTGACTTTGCAATTGGTATTTTGTTAGTATTCTATTATCACCCTATGCATTCAGTCACATTTATGTCATGTACTTCATGGCTCTCTCTGCTATTTGGTATAATTGCTGGTATTGGATTAGTGGTGTATGTATTAATAGCTCGATGGTATGTCAATAGGGTCAGGGATACTGATCTTGGTCTACGTGCAGCAGTAGAGGAACATTGGGAGAATAGACTGACATCTGAAAATGTCACTGAAGCAGAAGATTTTCTTATTTCAAGTTTTAAATGATTTTTTGCCAATTTTGAATTTTTAAAGAATTTTTACCTTTTTTGATCATCATTTCCTGTGCTACACTTTATAACTATAGTGCTGCCTTAAGAAATTTTTCCAGTGATCAGAGTAAGATGTATTGCATTATTCTTAGCTATAATGAACATGTACCCATCATTAGCTCCTTATTCCCTTTGGAGTCAGCCTACTTTCCTTTAATCACTGAAAGACAATGTTTCTTGTCTTGATATACAGGAGAAGCTTTTTCTGAAATTCCAGAGTAAATTAGAATCTAAAGTAGGATAATTATGTAGTAAAAAGTATAATCTTCATTGCCACTAAATTGAAAATAATGTTTTGCTCTGCCACTAATTTCTAAGTCTTTATGAGACCTCAATCATGTCTCTGTATGGACTGTAGTTGCAGCTGGATTTCCCACAAAGCATGCTAAGTGAGCTAAACAGCATGCTTTAAGTTTAAAAGTCACTAAAAATTGAAGTTAAATTAAAAAATTAAGTTTGATTGGAATCACCTTGAAGTTGATACACAGCATAAAGGCTTGTATGTGTATTATAAAATTTTGAGAAGTTTCTCCTTATGACCTTTGTCAAAAAACCCTGTACAGGATTTTTGGTCCAATTTTTGAGCAAATTGACACGAGCATAATGCCAAAAACCCTTTGAGAAACCCTGATTGCAAGTGTTTTATACTGCCACTTTCTTGCATTGGGTCTGGAAATACTGCTGTATTTTAGCATGTTTTTATCAATCAAGGCAAAATAAACTCCACCCAACTTTTTTTTGCAATTGACTCAAAGTAATCCAGTTTCAGGACTTGTTTAATTTGATATGTAGTATTATGTACGATGGAAGCCGTCTGCTATAACATTAGAACGGAATTTGATGCTGTTTAAAAATCCTGGCAAGAACCTATCACATGATGTAAAAGCACAGCTGGAGTCTCTTGGACAATTACAAAAGGCACAGCCCCTATAGACAAGCACAAATTGTCCATACTAGCTGTACAAACCACTTCTTCACCAAAAAAGTGTTGTTTCCTAAAATTAGTTATAGACTCTATATGTACCAGTTAGTCAGTTACTATTGGAATCCTAAAAAAATTCCAAAGCATGTTTAAGTGGTTGATGTGACTACTACCGGCTTCGAGGTGTTTAGCGACCAGTGCTTTGTGGTACTTTGTGACAACTGTTTTCAAAACCAGTTCATCTCCACAAAACTAAATTATTTTTTTAAATTTTCTGTTAACTGATCTAGCTGTGGTTTTGTGGTATTTATAATGTTGTAATTGTTGTTATAATTGACGGTCACATGATTTTGATAAGGTCTGCTATTGAAATAAGATGGATCCTGTCTCTCCAGAAAGAAGGAGGTTATCACCCTCTTCTTCACTTGTTAACAATGCAAGTAAAAGGAAGTACAAACCTTTCAACTGCTTCAGTAACTACTGTAAGGAATTAAAGTCTCGTTCATTGAGTTTACCATCAATCCTCCTACTGATTTATGCTCTGCCAATTGAAATTTGTATTTTAATGACTGACTTTACCAGTAACCAGTTCAGCCAGTGTGACTTATTTCACTCTAAAAGGGATATAATTTTTAATAATTTAGGGCTCATAGTAAATGTTCTCCTACTTTTCACCCCTTTCTGTGGTTGGTTATCAGATACTAAGATTGGTAGGGGTAATGCTATTTATCTTGGTCTATGGCTTGGTTGGATAGGTGCTCTAATACAGGCCATAGGATGCTGTTTGCAGTATAATAAATCCTTTCATTGTGGCACTGTTTCTTTTATAGGGAGATTTGTAATTCCTTTTGTTTTCATGTTTATATCAATGATTCTCTTGCTCCCTAATATATTACCATATGGTATAGATCAGTTGATAAATGAATCTACTGTCAAGATAAGAGCATTCATTCACTGGTTCTGGCTGTGTCTTTATAGTGGCTATGCATTGCCATTTATTATTGCAGATGGACTTACCATTTCAGTTGTGGCCCTTGCTCTCTTTTCTTTTTCTCTTTGTCTTCATTTTTTCCTGAAGCATCGTTTTGAGCACATACCTATTCCTAATCCTTATAAAATTGTATTTAAAGTATTGAAGTTTTCTCTCAAAACTAGTCGCACTAGAAGACAGCATCGTAGTGCATTCACATACTGGGGAGAGGAGCCCAGTAGAATGGATCTTGCTAAGGAGAGGTATGGTGGTTGTTTCTCTCATGAAGAAGTGGAAAATGTAAAAACTTTTCTACGCATTACTGTTGTTTTGGCTACTGTTTTCTTTTTATTTGTTTCTGCTTTTCCATTTGTATTCCATTTATTTCATTTTACTGCACAATTTAAACATGGTTCCAAGAAAAATGCTAGAGATGCTATTTGGGTTTTTGGCAATGTTGTTCCTTTGTTTGTTCTGGTCCCTTTGTTTGAACTGGTTATTCTACCTCTTTTTCCTAAATTAGAATATTTTCTAATTAACCCCCTGAAAGGAGTTGGTTTGGCTTATATTCTCCTCATATTATCAATTGTTAGTGTTTTTCTCATTGACTTGATTGGAAGGATTGTTGCTGATAATGACTCCAATGTCCCTTGTTTCTTCATGTGGAAATCAATCCATCAAACAATTGATATTTCCTATTGGATACTAGTCATACCATCAGTATTAGCTGGTACATCACATTTTGTTACTAGGATATGTTCATTTGAGTTCCTGTGTAGTCAGTCTCCTTTTGGTATGCATGGAATGATCATTGGACTGTTCTGGTTTTTCAATGGTTTGTCTACTGACTTTGCTATAGAAATATTTTTAATAGTTTATTATCACCCTATACACTCAATCACATTTATGTCATGTACCTCATGGCTCTCTATGATATTTGCTATAATTGCTGTCATTGGATTAGTGGTGTATGTATTAATAGCTCGATGGTATGTCAATAGGGTCAGGGATACTGATCTTGGTCTACGTGCAGCAGTAGAGGAACACTGGGATAATAGACTGTTATTGGAAAGTGCCACAAATGACACTGATACAGTTGTTATTTCTAGTTGATTTTTGTATTTTTGAAGAATTTTGTGATTTACTTTTAAAATGATCATTTCAGGCCTATCACTTTAAAACTAGCCCTGCCTTAAGAAATGATTCTCTGGCTATCAGTGTGAGATGTATTGCAATATTCTTAGCTAAAGAACATATATCCATTATTAGCTCCTTCTTGTTGGAGTCATCCTACTTTCCTTCAAGGCATGAAAAGACAATGTTCCTTGTCTTAATAGACAGGAGAAGCAATGTCTGAATTGCCTGGGTAAATCAAATTGGATAGTGACATAGTAAAAAAGTATAATCCTCACCTCCACTATATTAACAATTATAGCTTTGCTTTTAATTTTTACATCTTCGTTAAAACCTGAATAGTTTCCCTATTTTGACTGTTGCAGTAGGGTTTTTTGCAAAGCATCCTAAGTGAGCTAAACAGTAAAAGTCATCTGCAAAGCATTAGAATTTAGAATACTGAGAACTTGACCAAATCAGCAAAATTTCTATCATAAAAATGAAGACATCACTATAATGATATAGATGTTAAAATAATGAAACGCAACTACGTAATTTCAAATTATCATATTGGAATAAATCTTCTTACTGCCTCCTTCTCTTTCTCCATTTATGTTATTACTTTTTGACTGGTCGTATTTTCTCAAGGTCTAGCCCTCCTTCATTCTCCTCTTCTTCTGGCTGATTGAAGAAGATTCCTTATTAACTTTTAAAACTTTGTGCTGTTCTGTTTTGTAAGATTGTATTGAGACGTGAGTCACATGACAACAAGATATTGTCAGCTAAAAGGTCTGACTCACATGTTGAAAAATTCCTCCTGATGAATTCACTGAACCTGACAATGAGGAATGACCCACTGGAAGAAGAACCAGGCCTAGACTGATGTAGTGTTGCAGGGTGTAGGAGGAGAGGCCAGTGACATAACTGCAGATGGTCAATCACTATAAATGTTATTAATAGGTTGGGGCTGTCAACTGGTTGTGACGACCTTGACATTTCTGTATGGGTCACTAGATATGAGACACAGTTGATCCCATGCATGCAGTGATACAAAACCAGGAGACCACAATATTCAGATATTAACTACTTCTTAACAGCTGTTTCTATGTCTGAAAGCAATTTTGAATGAGACACAAATTGATTGCTGAAGCTTGTGGAAAGCCAAAGTCATCTTTTTTGTTATTTTTGAATCATAACAATTGAGTAAAGGCTAAAATAACAGTCACATGATTTTGATAATATAGTCACAATGTCACATGATCACTGCTATTGAATTACTACTGAATAAGATGGATCCTGTCTCTCCAGAAAGAAGGACGTTGTTACCCTCTTCTTCACTTGTTAACAATGCCAGTAAAAGGAAGTACAAACCTTTCAACTGCTTCAGTAACTACTGTAAGGAATTAAAGTCTCGTTCATTGAGTTTGCCATCAATTCTACTACTGATTTATGGTCTACCAATAGCAGTTAGCTATTCATTTTTTGAAATCTTTTTCAGAAATTTTTCCCGCAATCCATACAACCAATGTGAATCTATTAAATCTATTGAATCTGTAAATGATACAGTTTTTTATAACATAGGAGTTATAGTAGGAAATGCTATATTTCTTCTCGCCCCTTTCTGTGGTTGGTTATCAGATACTAAGATTGGTAGGGGTAATGCTATTTATCTTGGTCTATGGCTTGGTTGGATAGGCACTTTACTCTGGGCTATAGGATGCTGTTTGCAATATAATTCATGTGGTGCTACTGCTCTGGTAGGAAGATATATGTTTTTTACTGTAGCTTTTGTTTTCATGTTAGTATCATTGTCACTCATGTATACTAATATTTTACCATATAATTTAGATCAAATGATGGATGAATCAGCTGTTAGAATTAGAGCATTCATTCACTGGTTTATGCTGTGTCTTTATAGTGGCTATGTCTCTTCAGTTTTATCAGATGAACTCATCATTTCAGTTGTGGCTTTTGCTCTCTTTTCTTTTTGTCTTTGTCTTCATTTTCTTTTTAAGCATCGTTTTGAGCACATACCTATTCCTAATCCTTATAAAATTGTATTTAAAGTTTTGAAGTTTTCTCTTAAAACTAGTCGCACTAGAAGACAGCATCGTAGTGCATTTACATACTGGGGAGAGGAGCCCAGTAGAATGGATCTTGCTAAGGAGAGGTATGGTGGTTGTTTTTCTCATGAAGAAGTGGAAAATGTAAAGACTTTTCTACGTATTGCTGTTGTTTTGGCTACTTCTTTCTCCCTATTTGTCCCCATTGTTCCAGTTTTGAATAGTTCCTCAAATTTTGTTGCACAGTTTAAACATGGTTATGAAGGTTTGAATGGAAATGCTAAAAGTGTTCTTTGGTTTCTTAGCAACATCATTCCTTTGTTTGTTCTAATCCCTTTGTTTGAACTAGTTATTTTACCTCTTTTTCCTAAATTAGAATATTTTCTGAGTAAACCTTTGAGAGGACTTGGCTTGGCTAATGTTCTCATCCTATTATCTATTCTAAGTTTATTTCTCATTGACTTGATTGGAAGAATTGCTAGTAGCATTACATGTACTTCTAAAATGCCTTGCTTCTTCATTTGGAAATCAGTCCATCCAACAATTGATATTTCCTATTGGATACTACTCATACCATCAGTTTTAGCTGGTACATCATATTTTCTTTCTTATATATGTCTATTTGAGTTCATGTGTAGTCAAGCTCCTTTTGGTATGCATGGAATAATTTTTGGACTATTCTGGTTTGTACATGCTTTCTATATTGACACTGGTTCAGGTATTTTATTAATAGTTTATTATCACCATATACCCTCAGTCTCATTTATGTCATGTACCTCATGGCTCTCCATGATATTTTGTATAATCGCTGTTATTGGATTAGTGGTGTATGTATTAATAGCTCGATGGTATGTCAATAGGGTCAGGGATACTGATCTTGGTCTACGTGCAGCAGTAGAAGAACACTGGGAGAATAGACTAAGGTCAGGAAATGCCATAACTGATATTGATACAAAAGATTTATTTGTTTCAAGTGTTTGATAGTTTTTGTTAATTTTTGCAATTTTTTATTTTATAATAAGAACTGTCACTTCTCTATTATTTGGAATGTGAGCATGCACAATCTTCTCATGCACATGCATGCTGAGTCTCCATCCATCAAAAACTGAACTGGATGTAAACCAATCATTAAACATAGCAAGTTCCATTCTTTCTGCTGTTTCTTGGTGTGAAGGTATCATGGGACACTACCTGTAATTTCAATGATAAATTTTTAAAATTCAAATATCTTAGAGTCTCATAACTGGCACATGTACTCTAATAGGCTGCTAAAACTTTGTGGGACTGTCACCTGGTTGTGACGAACTTGGAAGTTTTGTATGGGTCACTAGATATGAGACACAGTTGATCCCATGCAGCAACGCATATCCAGGAAATCATAATATTTAGATATTAACTACTTTTTACAGTTGCTTTTATGGCTGAAAGCAAATTTGACTGGAATGAGATACAAAAATGACTGTTGAAGCTTTGTGGAAAGCCAAAGAAATGTCTAATTGAGTAAAGGCTAAAATAACAATCACATGATTTTGATAAGGATTCATAGTAGGATCACATGATTCTCTGCTATTGAAATAAGATGGATCCTGTCTCTCCAGAAAGAAAGAGTTTGTTACCCTCTTCTTCACTTGTTAACAATGCAAGTAAAAGGAAGTACAAACCATTTAACTGCTTCAGTAACTACTGTAAGGAATTAAAGTCTCGCTCATTAAATTTGCCATCAATCCTCCTACTGATTTATTCTCTGCCAATAACAGTTAGTTATGCATTTTCAGAAATAGTTTTCAGAAATTTATCTCAAAACCAATGTGGATCTGGATCTATTGCCTCTGCTAACAATCCAGTATTTCATAATCTTGGAATTATAGTGGGAAATACTCTCTTTCTTCTTGCCCCTTTTTGTGGTTGGTTATCAGATACTAAGATTGGTAGGGGTAATGCTATTTATCTTGGTCTATGGCTTGGTTGGATAGGCACTCTATTGTTTGCCATTGGATGCTGTTTGCAATATCATTCATGTGGTACTACTGCTCTGGTTGGAAGATATGCAGTTTTTGGTATAGCTCTTATTTTCATCTTACCCTCATTATCACTAATGTTCACTAATGTATTACCATATGGTATAGATCAGTTGATGAATGAATCTACTGTCAAAATAAGAGCATTCATTCACTGGTACTGGCTATGTCTTTATGGTGGCTATGCATTTACAGTTATATCAGATGAGCTCATTGTTTCAGTTTTGGCCTTTGTTCTCTTTTCTTTATCTCTTTGTCTTCATTTTCTTTTTAAGCATCGTTTTGAGTACATACCTATTCCTAATCCTTATAAAATTGTATTTAGAATATTGAAGTTTTCTCTCAAAACTAGTCGTACTAGAAGACAGCATCGTAGTGCATTCACATACTGGGGAGAGGAGCCCAGTAGAATGGATCTTGCTAAGGAGAGGTATGGTGGTTGTTTCTCTCATGAAGAAGTGGAAAATGTAAAGACTTTTCTACGTATTGCTGTTGTTTTGGCTACTGTTTTTCCCTTATTTGTCCCCATTGTCCCAGTTTTAAGTAGTTCCTCAAATTTTGTTGTACAGTTTAAACACGGCTATGAAAGAAGTGCTAAAAATGCTATTTGGCTCCTTGGCAACTTCACTTCTTTGCTTGTTGTAGTCCCTTTGTTTGAACTGTTTATTCTACCTCTCTTTCCTAAATTGGAATATTTTGTTCTTAATCCATTGAAAGGTCTTGGTGTATCTAACCTTCTCATCATATTATCAATTGTTAGTTTATTTCTTATTGATTTGATTGGAAGGATTGCTAGCAGCATTAGTACTTCTATGCCTTGCTTCTTCATTTGGAAATCAGTCCCTCAAACAATTGATATTTCCTATTTGATACTACTCATACCATCAGTATTAGCTGGTACATCATATTTTCTCACATGGATTTTTTCATTTGAGTTCCTGTGTAGTCAATCTCCTTTTGGTATGCATGGCATGATCACTGGACTGTTCTGGTTTCTGCATGGTATATTTATTAACATTGGTTCAAGCATCTTATTAATAGTTTATTATCACCCTATACCCTCAGTCTCATTTATTTCATGTACCTCATGGCTCTCTCTGCTATTTGGTATAATTGCTGTCATTGGATTAGTGGTGTATGTATTAATAGCTCGATGGTATGTCAATAGGGTCAGGGATACTGATCTTGGTCTACGTGCAGCAGTAGAGGAACATTGGGAGCATATGCTGACCGAAGAAGATAACACAGTTAATGATATTGAAACAGAAAATTATGTTATTTCTAGCTATAAGTGATTTTCTTGTAATATTTTTGAATTTGACTTTTTACTAAATTACTGTTTTATTATACTGAAACTACAGCAAGTAATTCTATAAGCAAGAGCAGGCACTGAGATGGCCTAGCAATTAGAGCAATAATTTTGGCATTATCTTTTCCAATGACACATGAATTCACAACTTGGGCACTTTTAGTCTGGTCCCGCCTCGGGACCAGACTAGGGCACTTTCTAAGGATTCAAACTTTAATAAAAAATATGCAATTTTTACACCAACAGACCTAATGCTAGACCTGAATTCATTAGTGTTGAAGGACAACACTGGCTGTATTGCAGCGACTGTTGATTGTTGCATCTAAACAAAGTGAAATGAAAAAATTGTAAGTATTATTATATAATTGTGGTAAGCTTGAGTGAGTCCTATAGTACGAGACACTGTGATCTGCTTATCTGTACATATACATCATTCCTCAAAAATGATCAATTTAGTACAGTACAACTGGTCAGTATAGACATGTGCATATGATAAAGAAATAAAAGATTAAGTGGATTATTGCAACTCCGCTTGTACCAAGGCTAGGACTAAATTTAAGACCCAGATAAAGAAGGCTGTATAATGAGGGAAATAAATCCAAACCTCAGAAGGCAAGAAACACTTTTAAAATAATCTTTATCAAACCAATCCTGACAAATCATTCATAATTATTACAACATTGAATTCTTCACTTATTTAATTATTTTCAGCACTACAATTTTACAAAGGATTGCTAGCTGTATCAAAACCCTATTGAGGAAAGTCTTTGGCTGCATGTGAGTGAGAGCTGTCTTTCATCTTTGTTTCAATGGCACTTACATGTATATTATGTAAAGACGGCAAGAGAGATTTTAGCTTGCTTTGCTAGAAGAATTTTATTTTTGAACTTATGTCAATGTAATATGAACCTTTGAAAATGACCAATTTTCATTACAAATTTGATAATTGCATATGAAATTAGTCTTAATATCATGTGTATTTTTATTAGTAAAACAATAAAGGGAAGCCATACTATACTGGTCACTATAGGAATGTTAATATTATTCATAGTTGCACTATTATATAGGCGGTAGCCTATATGTAGGATTGAGGTTGATTTTTCAAGATGGCGGCCGTTTTTATGATTTTCAAACACTTACAACTCTTTTATCTTACGTGGTACAGCCTTATAAATGGAGTAGATGAGCTCTCCTTCACTGAGCGATTCTCCTGGTACCTTTAAAGTGAACTGTAATGTAGCGGGAGCTTTTCTGGAGAATAGGCCCAAATTCAAATTTTTTGCAAAATTCTTCAGACTTTTTCTTCTTTCTTTCATCTTCTTCTATCAACACTGAAATCTTTTATACCAGAGAGCTGCTCAAGTTGGCCTTTACATCATTCCTTTGTGCTTGGGTCAAGGATTGTAAATGACTTTTCAAAAAGGAGCAACAGTCTACAAGAAGGCCCTACACTTCTCTGAACACCGGAAGTGCAGGAAATCATATGGTTTCACTCATGCTGTAATGGATACCCATACTATTTTACTTATTTCTCTTACATAGATACTTAAACAGTGCTGTAACTAGCACCATTAAAAGAGGAGAAGTTGCTTGTTATAAAGAAACAAGTTTGGTTCTCATGTGCGAAGTTTAAGCAAAGATATGCCACCGTGAAAATTATTTGTTTAATAAGAATTGTTTGACTTTGATTTTTGTGCAAATCATTCACAGACTACCTGGAACCTCTAAAGTCTTTCCATAGACTTAGGAAGGTGTAGTCTACATGTCCTGCTAGTTTCAATCTTAATGGAGCAGATATAACTGTAGAAAAAGTGCCGTAAACTTGGTCACAATTAGGCGACCTAAAATCCTTGATATACGAGAGCTGTTCTCTTTATTTTACCACATACAGATAGAACCAACTCTCCTCC